TCTTCTCCGTCCAACTCCTTTCCGTCGCAACACATCGCCGTTGAGCTTTATTCAAAAGGCGATGAAAAGATTCTGGCAGTTTGCGTCCAAATCGGCTATTAAATTCCTCGGCCGCGCCATTCTCTCGCTCTCTCCCCCTCTCCCCACTCTGGCGCATTCTTTGTGAAAACCCATTCACTTTGTGCGGGCAATTTAGCCCGCATATCTTTCTCACCGTCATAACACGTATTTTCCGCAGGGTGCAAGTGCAAGTCCTTTGCCGTCGTCGAGGACCTCTCTTCTCTCAGTCGGTTGGGCAAAAGCCTTGCTCTCCTCTACCGCCCCCCCTCCCCCCTCTCCCCTACCACGGCCTCTTGTCTCTCTTCCCGAAAACAGAGAAAAACACACAGGTGTCATTGAGGTGCGCAGAAAAACAACCTGGCGAGCAAACGCTTTTGCCATTGTCGAGTTTGTGTTGGGGATTATAAGCTGACCAGCTTTTGCCTGGTCTCAAACAACTGCTGCTGCTGCTGCGCTGCACAGCAAACGACCGTGCCAAAGCCTGCTCCTCGTGCCGTCGAGCAAGACGTCAAGCCCAGGTACAGGACAATGCAGGTGCACTCGGAGGGCTCCGGCGGTGCTTGGCGGCGGCGGCGGTGGAGGAGGAGGAGATGGTGGTCGGTGAGGTGCGGTGTGGTGTTGGGTCCCCGATTGAGGCCAGGGCCGGGGCCCGCCGCCCCGCCGTCGCCTTGGCTGCTGCTGCTCCCTCTGCTCCCTCCGCCCCGGCTCCAGGAGCCACGCTCGGCTTTTATCGGTATTTGCAGTGAAATTGGCGACGGGCGTACACAACCGCGCTGCTGTACCGCACCGGGCGGTGCGGGCGGGGGAAGGTCCCTCCTCGGCCTTGGCGGCTGGCCGAGAGAGACACGAAAACATGACGTCTGAACTAAACCACCACTTCTTCAACTGAAGAAAAAAGAGAACCAAACCGTCGTGGTCATTTCGACGTCAGTATGTCCTGTACCTGGTGGCTGACTCACGCCGCGCACTTTTGTAGTTAGACTGGACAGCATGCACGCGTGCCGCCGGGTTGCCTACTTGCACGGGGCCATAAGGAGCCGTGGTCAGCGAGGATAGACAAGCCCGCCCGCACCCCGTGCATGCGGTACAGTATCACTACAGACGTACAGCTACTAGTGTAGCATCAAAACATTGCCATTTTTTTTTTGTCTTTACCGGTACCGGGTTTCTCTTGTTTTGTAGACTGTTATGATTTTTTATTTTTATTTTTGCGGCTCTCGATTTACCTTGCCTAGCGGCAGTTCCACGCAAAAAAAAAACGCCGCCACCGCCGCCGCCGAGCGCACCGCGAGCCGTTTTATCCCGTTTTATCAGTAAGGGGCTCTGTGTGATCCGTGCCCGGAGGTGGGGGAGATAACGATGCACACACCCATGACATTCTTGGGCCGTCTCGGCGCAATCGCCTCGCCTTCGCCCCGTCGGCGGCTCAAAAAGATACCTGAGACATCGAACAATAATAATTATCGGCAACTTTAGTACGTACTGTACTCTCTTTTTTTTTAATTGGAAAACTTTGACGAGGTTTGTGGCGCGCTGCGGCTGAGCCGTATCGTTAATTTCCGGCCTCTGTGCAGGGTGTACACACTCTGCCGGGTACACTTCGCGTCGCGGACGACTAATAAGGCTGGAATAATTTCCTCGTCCGCACCCAGAGCCCCAGCGTGGCCGCCGCGGAGCACCCCCCCCTACCCCCTTCCCCCTCGGGCAAACCTCGCGCGGAACTACTGTGGCGGCGATGGGACGTACGGCACGCCGGGAACGGTCCTTCCTTCTTACCTACGAGAAGCCAAGGGCGATTGCACGTTTGCAACAAACGATTGCGAATAGTACAGGCTCCCGTTGCCGTTAGAACGGCGCGGCGGTGCGCGGCCACGGCGCCGGCGTGGGGCGTTTGAGTAGAAGCGAACTGACCGAATTCCCATTCCGACGACTCCCTGCTGCTGCTACTTACTGCTGCCTTTTGCCTCTTTTGCCCGGCCACGCCGCCGCTTTACAATTTTTATTATTTCCCCTTTCCCCCCTTTTTGCCTCTCTCGGTGCACTTGCGGCCGAGTGACCCACTTTTGGGGCGCGCGCCCCGGCGTGTTCCCACCACCACCACCTGCTGCGTATATTGCTGCAGGAGCTATCCCTCCCAGCGTGACCAGGATCAGGCAAACGCAGTCTTCCTCCTCCTCCTCCTGGACGACACGGAGGGTTTGCGTCCTCCTTCAAGATCCTCGCGCATGTCTACTTTCGCCACCACCACCGCCACCGCCGCCGTCGTCGTCCACCGCGGCGTCCCATCCGAGGAACCGCGCGCGGGGGGCTTAGCCAGACCCGCGCCCAGGCTGCCCCCCCCCCCCCCGGGACGCGGTGGTTCCTCTCCCGGACCCCCTGCGCCTCCGTAATTGCTGTACACGTTGGTCGTGTGGTGAGGTGAGCAGGCGGGAGTTGTAGCCGTGTGGTGATGAGCCTCGCTTCTATCCAAAGCCGTCCAAACCGAACCGTCCGCATCCATTCAATCCACACATCCATCTATCTCTCTCCTCTGGGGCTCTCTATAAGCTCAAGGTCCTGCTCCCATCGGGGAGATTGGACGGCGGCGAGGTGGCAGTAGCACTAACAGCAACAGCAGCAGCAGCGGCAGCACTGACGGTAGGAACCTCGTTTGGGCCAAGCTTCCTTGCTGCGGTCCAGTGCCCCCCCCCCCCCGGGTGCGTTGCGCCCCTAACCAACTGCGGCACTAAGGGGGCCGTAAGGGGGGGGGGGGCGACACGCGCGCACACGCCACACGCCCTGCTGCAGCCGTCAACGTCATCGCCGTCGAGCAGACACACATAACACACATACACAAACACATACAGACACATTTTTCCTCCTGGCAATAAGCAAAGAGAGAAGGGAATGGCAGGAGGATCATCATCGGCTACGCCATTCGAGGCCACGCCACACCGCCGCTGCTGCTGGCCATGTTTTTGCCCCGACGCTCCATTGGTGGTCTTGATTAGACGAGACGTCGTCGTCGACGACGACAAGTCGCGGAATCACGGGGAGCAGGGGGGGATACTGTAGCGAGTGGCGCGCCGCGGGACTGGCAGGCGATCACCGTGATTATTGGCGAACGAGCGGAATGATGAAAAGGCAGCGCGGCGGTGGCAGATGCTGGGCAAGGTGGGTCATTACCCGCGAGTAGAGAGGCTATCAATATCACCCGTCCCCGTGCCCCGCCCCACCCCGCCCCGCCCCGCCAGCGCCCGCTCCGCACCAGCCAGCCAGCCCCGCGCCGACTGGAAGCCCAAGTTCAAGTTCAAGTCCTGAACTGGGCCGTCGGCCGCGCGTCTTTACGACGAGTTTCTCCGCGCGAATGCTACGCTGTCGGACGGGCGGACGGACGGGGGGCCGCGGGGACCGCAGGAGGCGTACCGCAGGAGGAGGCGTACCGCAGGGCAGCCTCTGGAGAGAGCCTGCAGGTGCGACAGGTGACGGCTTCGCATCAACAGGGCCGGCAGCTGTAGGCCAGCCCTACGCCCAGGGCCCCTGCTGCCTGATCTTCCCCGGCCACCCTCACCGCAGGGCCGCCGACGTGCCCCTGGAGGGCCTGCAGGTGCGACAGGTGACGCGACGACGGGCCGTAGGCCCTGCGGTCGGCCTTGCAACAGGGCGCGCAACAGGACGGGCAGCTGCGGGCCGCCGGCCCGGAGCCCTGCTCTTGCCCGTCCCCAGCAGGCCACCCTCACCGCACCCCTTCACCTCGCCGTCCTCCCCTTTCGCGCCCAGCTTCCACCACCTCACCGCCGTCAGGCCCGTCCCGTCAGGCTGTCGTGCTGCCGTGCCGTCGCCCTGCCGGCCGTCCGCTCGCCCGGCGCGCCGCCCGCCGCCCGGGCCGCGGCCGGGGAGGGGGTGGGGAGGGGGTGCACCCGCGACGGGGCGCGGCGGGGAGGAGGCGCGGGGCGCGCGGGGAGTCGGCAGCTGTGCGCTGAGGAGAGTGGAACAAGCGGAGGCCGCGTCGTACCGCGAGAGAGCCGAGCCGCGAGCGAGTCGCGCGTCAGCAGCACCGCGACGTCCAGAGAGCTCCGCGAGGGGCCCGAGCGCTCCGCGACACAACCCGGGCGTGTGCCGCACCGCGTCGTCGTCGTGAAGGGGTCGCTATCCCCCCTCGGAAAGGGACCGCGCGTGCGTCACCCTTCCTGGATGTCTTTCTCTACAAGTGCGTCGGCGAGGAGGCCGTTGTGAGCCCGACCCATGTGTCGTTGGTTCAAGTTTTGGTGCGTCGCAGTGCAAGTGTTTTTACTTCCCCCGTCGCCATCCTGGCCATCTCTCCTGTCCCTCCTACCCGTCCCCGTGGTGGTGTGGTGTGTGTGCGTGTGCGTGATGGTGTGCGCCCGCGGCAGCTGTTCAAACACCGCGGCGGCGGGCCGCGCACCACCGCCAGCCTTCTGCTCTACTTGTGCCCGGCGGTGCGCGTCGCGCGCGCCGAGGGCGTCCAGCGGCACCGCCTCCATAACGGACCGTATGTGCTCGTGTGTGTGTGTGCGTTTGTGTGCGTTTGTGTGCGTGCGTGTGTGCGTCTGCGCGAGACAAGATACAGCACCGCGAGCAAGCAGGATTAACAGTGCATGCGAGCGGCGCCCAGGGCCACCGTCGGCCCCGCCACGGACGACAACGTCAGTGATAAGTGCTTATCAGTGATAAG